CCCCACCCCCACCCCCTACACCTAACGACATCTCTATAACAAAAAGGATTCATAACCCTTCCGCTGTTTTCTGCTATCAAGCTTACGTAAATCGTTGAACTTCACCCATCCACAAACGAAATGACTGACTCTACCCTTTTTTTTATAAAATGGTTCACAATATCTGAATACGCATTATCTGGAAGTTTTTGGACATTGTTACTCCATTCCGACTTTTGACTGTTCGTATCCATGGATCCTTATCGTAAATAAAGTAAATTAAGTGTTTCTAGTTTTCGGCGCGGCGGTTGCGATTCAGTGTTTGATCAAAGAAAGACAACTCGAATACAGTAAAAAGAAATTCTTGAACTTTTTGCTCTTTTTTATTGATTTAACGTAGGTTTTGTTGGATGGTAATTTATTTCCCCCTTTTTCAATAAAGATTTGATTAGTTGTAGGCAAACAAAGATTGATTGATTTTTTGAAATTATTTTTTTATTTCATTTAATAATTAATTAATTAATTTATATATTTTTCAAACCGAGTTCACTAATATAAGGATTTGGGAGAAGGTATAGCCTCTTTGACAGAAAACAAAACAGACTGGGTCGTGTGTGAAATGTATGGCTGGATTTGTCAGGTATGGGATTATTTTTAAGCAAGAAATATGGTAAGAGTTGATTATTTTTGAAATCATAAAAGATAACAAATAACGCTATTAATGTTATTCTGGTACATGTATAAATCTTACAAGCGTTTATGTTTTTGTACATTTTGTAGTTCCCTTTTCGCCAGTATCTACTATCGATCGGTAACATCATTATATTGTAAATGATTAATCAGAAGAGAGAAACATACATAGACAAGTTCCGCACCATTGTCGAGGAAGTATATCTAACATCCACTGTTGCTGTTGTTTTTGTTTCACCTCTGTTGCTGTTGTTTTGGTTCCTCCTCTGTCGCTGTTGTTTTTGTTTCTCCTCTGTTGCTGTTGTTTTGGTTCCTCCTCTGTCGCTGTTGTTTTAGTTCCTCCGCTGTTGCTGTTGTTTTGGTTCCTACTCTGTTGCTGTTGTTTTTGTTTCTCCTTTGTTGCTGTTGTTTTTTGTACTCCTCTGTTGCTGTTGTTTCTCCTCTGTTGCTGTTGTTTGGTTCCTCCTCTGTTGCTCTTGTTTTAGTTCCTCCGCTGTTGCTGTTGTTTTGGTTCCTACTCTGTTGCTGTTGTTTTTGTTTCTCCTTTGTTACTGTTGTTTTTGGTACTCCTCTGTTGCTGTTGTTTCTCCTCTATTGTTGTTTTGTTTCTCCTCTGTTGCTGTTGTTTCTCCTCTGTTGCTGTTGTTTTGGTTCCTCCTCTGTTGCTGTTGTTTTTGTTTCTCCTCTGTTGCTGTTGTTTTTGTTTCTCCTCTATTGCTGTTGTTCCTCCTCTGTTGCTGTTGTTTTGGTTCCTTCTCTGTCGCTGTTGGTTTGGTTCCTCCTCTTTCGCTGTTGGTTTGGTTCCTCCTCTGTCGATGTTGTTTTTGTTTTACCTCTGTTGCCATTATATTTGTGTCTCCACTGTTGCTGTTGTTTGGTTTCTCCTCGGTTCCCGTTGTTTTGGTTTCTCATCTCTTCCTGTTATTTAGTTTCTCTCCTCGGTTCCTGTTGTGTTGGTTTTTCCTCTGTTCCTGTTGTTTTGGTTTCCCCTCTGTTCCTGTTATTTGGTTTCTCTCCTCGATTCCTGTTGTTTTGGGTTTTCCTCTGTTCCTGTTGTTTTTGTTTTTGATTTTCCTGTTATTGTTGTTTTTGTTTCTCCTGTTATTGTTGTTTTTGTGTCTTCTGTTATTGTTGTTTTGGTTTCTCCTGTCATTGTTGTTTTTGTTTCTCCTCTGTTGCTGTTGTTTTGGTATTAGGGCAATTCCGGGTATTTTGATATACTTGTAGCTTTTTATATATGCTTTATTTATGTTGTTTGCATGCGTATTGTTTATTTTTTCCCGTTTTTAAAGAAGATCTGAAATTTTCATAAATACATGAGCCACTTTTATATTTTTTTAGACTATAGCCTGTAAGGGTCTGCTATGAATTGTGAACGAGATTTACAACGGGATCGACAGAAAGACAACGGAGAAATAGACGGAGAAGCCAAATTGTGTGATTAACTGTTGCTAATTTCGTTTATAGTCTGCAAGTACGTTGCTGGATCCAACCAGGTCATATTCAGTTGGGTAGTCCGATGGCGCAGTGGACAGTGCCTTCGCCTTTTACCAAGACGGCCGGGGTTCGAATCCCCGATAGGACGTAAAAAGGTAAGGGCACACTTAACAGACCACGGGAGATTTCTCCGGGTACTCCGATTTCCTCCCACATTTAAGACTTTAAGACCCCTGTGGGCTAATCTGGGCCAACACAAAAAAAAGTGAATACTATATAAGCTAATATAACTTGCGTCATGCATGTAAATGTTGCAAAATAAATAAAGTTTAATTTTGGTTCAATTTCGAATGTAAATGAATATACTCCCTTCCTCCCTCTGTCCCTTTTACCCTTCCTTTCTGTTTAAAAGGAAAGTTTGAAATCTGCACTCGGCATAACTGCGGCACATAATATGCAAATCAGCGTTTTACCCGACCGGGAAGCGGTTGAAACAACATGTATACTATATTAAAAACGTAAGACTAAAAAAGAAATTATTTTATATTTTTTTATTAAAATAATAATGTAGTTTCCTGTTTTTAATTAAATTATTAAGCGAAATTGCACCCTATAGATGCGCCAGATATAGTACAAGAAAGTTTTTAGATTTCCCCGGGTTCATTCCCTTCCCCTCTCCCAATCCATAGAAAGACACACTGGCGTCCGTTTTTCTGTATACGCTCTCGTGTGGCACATTTAATTATATATGTACTACCCATTTGTAAAAAGTGAGAAAGATTTCCCAAGGGAGGGTTGTAAAAGCTTTTAACTTTTATGTCCAATTGGTTTTGTAAAGTTTTAAGGAAGTGGAATGAAGATTTCTTAAAACGCAAATGGTATAGCACCGAAAATATGTACATTTAACACAGTGACAAATTCAGAGGACAAAGGTACTTATTTTACTCTCCTTCCTTTCAGAGAATTTCGATTATTTTATATGTCCAGAATAATCTCTATCTGGCTCTTTTATTTCTTAAGTCTGCAGAGTGTCTTGCAGGGATAGGGACCCTCCTGAAAATCCTGGTCCGTCACTGCTTACGTTTAATGAGAATGCCAAAATTCTACTTAACAGCATAATATAATACCACCAGGTAAAATAAAATCTACTAATTATATTGAGCTGGACATACCAGACACCGCGTGACCATTGCGTTCGATAGTCCCTGCAAACTTGTTTGAGAAACAAAGCTGAAGTTTGAGCCGAGTGTATTATTTCTTGTACAGGGGAGCAGGGTTAGCTCTCGCAAAATCAAATATAACTTAATCATTGATTTATATTCTCTTGAAACAGTAACAAAACATTATACTTTGTGTACAAGTCCATGTTTTCTCGGAACCGCACTTCAAATCCGACTGGACAACAAATAGGCATTTATTCAGAGTACTCTGACACCCCTATGTACCGGTCGACAGACGTAATGAACTGGTCCACCTGTCTCTGATGTAAACACGACGGTGTGTGAATACGTGTCGTGTTCGCCTGTCTTAGTGATCTGTGGCACCAATGTTTGTCAGGGTAACAGTACATGCACCCCGAACTCCTTAGGACATTTCCAATCCCGATGTCAGTCGACAGTCCTCCTGCGCTGTTCCCTTGTGTTTCGTTATCTTCGTACCCAGTCGGAACATGTCCCGATGTCCTCCCAGCAGCCGACGATTCGGGCTCGCTGTCAGCATCTGTAACATCATCCTATGTGCTGGCCCAGTGTCAACACCCTGTCCCATCACAGTGTGATGGCCACACCATAGGGACATACGTTAACAACTGCTCTGTTGTCAGGTTGGAACCCCCACCCCCGGGAGATGTGACGTCACAGGGGGCGATATCGTCATCAGCGCCAGTGCTCCATCTGGCAGAAATGCCCGGGGGTCTCTCGATCAGTACAACACTGATGAACTACATTTGTTCTGAATACCAAGACGTAGAAGTTGGACTCTTTGTTGGCGACCCAAAGGATCCGGTAACGGTAACTAGCTTTCTAGGAAGGGGAGGAAGGCTGAGAGGGGACATACTATATTAATTCTCAACATATTTTAAAATATATAAGATATATGATGTTAAAATCCCCTTCTTGCCTTTATTGTTTTACGTACATTAATATTATATGATTTTTTTTCTTCCCTTTTTATCGTAATTTCTTCATGCCCCAATGAATTTAATATGTTTATGGGAAGGAAAAATTATCTTCTAGTCTTATCCTTTGGTCGACAGGTAAATTATTCTCCCTAAAAAAATAAGAAAATATGTGATATTTGATTCTGTAAATTTTGTTTATTCGTCTTCGAATTAATCAAAATAAAACATGTTCATTTTTTACCAGCGTATATCTGATTTTTGTAAAGGTATGAGCACGTTTTGGAAGTCATTTTCACAATTTTTTTCCATCTGCAAATACGAAAAAAATTTGTTAAAACGTTTATAGTCACAGTTAATTTGCTTAAATACGCTAATAGACGATAACTTACTCCTAACTCGGAGAGGTACAGTATTACGTATTTAGGTAAGGTGTACACGTGATAGGATTATAAACCAGTATACGCTCTCCGTGGCTAACTCGTCTTTCCAGTTCATGAACATTATTGTTAGCTGGTCACCGCTCGTTGCACGCTTTATGGCAACAAAACGAAACACATGATATGGTTTCACATTTTACCGATTAAAATATAGAATCTTACATAGTGTCAAAATATTTGTTATTATCAGTTTGAAAGTGAACACTTCGCATTTGATTGATTTCCAATAGAGTCGGTGTACTAACGATTTCGAATTAACATCGAAATGGATTTGCTCTAATTTTATTCATTTAAACTGTGTTAGTACGATCTTAACAGTAAAAAGCGAGAGAAAGAAAGTTTGGAATGCTAGCGTTTTAATTCTTATACATGTATAGAACACAATGGATATTGCTGAACACAATCAAGTCTTAGAGGGACTTTATTTTCGTGAGTTATGTTTGCACTGTTCTTGCTTCTTATGTACTTATGTGTTTGAGAACTGTTACAAGTCCATAAAACATAACCAAAACTTGCTTCAAGTCGGTTTTAACCTAAGCATTTTGACTCGGGGACTGTTATCAGAATTGAGTTATATCCGGGATATGATAGCTGCAGATGTATAAAACCTAACTTTTAATCTCTAAAATGGTAAATATATGTATAATATTCATGTTGAGAAGCTGACATTTCTTTTCTGCCCCACTCGGGTTGAACGTATTTCTGTCGCTATGGTGAAATAAACACTGGCAGTTTACAGTGTATAGCGTACTGTCCGCTAATAGGTAATTTTGCTATTTGGGTTGGTCATAAGGTAAATCAAGGGTCTCGCTTGTTGTACGGTGATTAAAACAGACTGAGGGTAAGGTAAAACCTGGAGCAACCCACTGTCTTTTCGGGAAAACTAAAGGGTTTTCGATATCGATTTGAGGAAAGGTAATGGATCATACATGTATTTACGGGATCCTACATGTATTTACGGGATCCTACATGTATTTACGGGATCATACATGTATTTACGGGATCATACATGTATTTACGGGATCATTGTGTATACGTCCGGTTTTTTAAATCACCAACACGTGTCTTGTACATTTGAAAAAGTTGAACATTCAATCTCTAAATAGGTATCAAAATGAAATCAGAAAATAACATGTTTTAGAGGCTGAATTTTTCGGTTACCAAAGATGTCGCGTGATGGAAAGATGTTCTGTTGAACTATCAGATAATGATTCGATGTTTTGTGTTCAGTTCAGCAATACATTGAAAGTTTGTAGATTTTTTTTTCTTATTCAACATAAAATGTAAGGTCTGTATTTGTTGAATTTATACCATGTATCAATGAGGATCACCATGCTTTATTTATGTATTCCTGTTAGATATCGTTCCTTTTACCCCACGCCCAACCTGTTACCGGTTTACATGTATTCCAAGTAATTGATAAATCATTCTAAATAATTATATACCGGTTTCCCAATTAAGATTAATTTATTTGTAATTGTATCACTGTGGTAAATAATATTGAATGATTTAACAGCCTTGTATTTTTCCGACAGGACCGCCCGGAAGTGTGTACGCCCCCGGATACTGCCCCGGAGAACCCAAGCCTAGCGGACTCTGGGTATGACGACTCACTCAACCTACAATGTCTGGAGACGGTGTTGGACTGGAAGGGCGTGTCCCAGAGTCCGGGCCCCGCCCCCTTGTTCTTGTCATCAACACTATTACACAGCCCCGACCATCGCGGATTTGAAGATTACCTGGATGATATTTACTACCACCGACTCAGCATCGAGTACAAATACCAAGTCAACAATTGTCTGGAAGGACAACGAGAAGTAGGGTTCTTATCTCCCCTCACCCACCCCGCCCCTCACTGGAGCCGTCAATGGTTCTTGTTAATCATAATTTGTAAAGTTTCTTAAGATTTGCTTTCATCACGGTAAATGTTTTTAGGGTTTGAACTTGGTTTGAAAATCATTTTCACGAAGAAAATCTGCTTTCATCTATGCATACAAAAATTGGTAGCACGTTTCTTGNCCCCCCCCCCCCCCCATTCCTTACTGCCAGCCAAACCCCTTCCATCTCTCAACCCAGCCTCTCGTCCACACGCACGATTTAAGTTTCTGTCCTCTGCAGATGTCCTTTTTCCTTTTCCATATAACTAATCACTTAGTCTGTCTGAAGGTAACGTCGGTATTTATACCGTGGAAGTGATATTTGTCTGTCCGTGCTTTTATGTACGATTGTATATGTGTTAGGTAAACAGCTAAACATATATCCCAGACAGTAGCTACTGACCGCAACGAAATTCTTTATAAAACCCCAATGGATGTGACACTCGTTACCAACACTCAGCAACACTCTGATGTCGCTAATATGAAGATCAACCTCATGGCGAGTGATCAAAGGTCAAGTCTTGTCTGCTGCGCTATAGGTCGTCTCGAGATTTTGTTATAGAAGTTCATAGATGTATTGACCAGACGACGTGTCACGTAACACTCTCAATATCCTACGTCAAAGGTCAAGGTCGTGCCGAGGGGTCAGACGTGCGTCAAGTTGTGCTTATTCAGACTACAACTTTATATCGCCTATCGGGTGCGTGTCATGACTAAACTGCGTTTCACGGAACTCAAAATTCCGTGACCAAAGGTCAAGGTCCCAGCCGTTGGTCAGAGTTTAAATCATTGTATTGTTGGCCTGACTCGTCACTTTTGAGATGCTCAAGATTAGTTGTGATATTTCATTGATGTATGTGACATGTCTACGGTAACGACTTGTAAAGGGAATGTTTAATTCTTTATAAATGTTCAGTCTTTGTTCAAGCACGCTCTCTCCCAAAGTTACCCCTCTTGCTTACTAACCATATCCAAACTCATTCCAGACGCTTATTATTTTCAAACTTTAACTTAACAATTATTGATGGATTAGATTTGACAGCTGAACTATGCTGGATTGATGCAATCTTAATTGTAGCGCTATACGTATATATAAAAACACACGTCCTTTGACTTTCAGGTGACCCCGGGTATGAGAGGTTTACTGATTAGTTGGATGACCGGTGTCCACCATCAGCTGATCATGTGCCAGGACAGTTTGTTTGTCGCGGTCAATATCGTAGACCGGATACTGGACATCATGCATGCCTCCAGGGACTACCTCCAGCTTCTAGGCATCGCGTCGTTACTGATTGCCGCCAAATGTGTGAGTTCGACTTACCTCTGTATTACGGCCGCATTTATAGGTGTGACTTGCTATGTACCACTGGATATATATGTATAGCTGTACTTTAGCGGCCTGTTTATTATATATACATGTACGAAGTTAACTTACACCTTTATATGGTATGTAATGTAACGTCAATTGTTAAAAGACCGGATTCGGTATTACGACCATGTGTTATAGTCCCCGTACTGTGGTCACGTGTGACAGAACGCTATGTCTCTGTTATGCGACCTCTATGACCACTTACGTCTCTGCATTTCGACCGTGTGTACAGCATGTAAGTGTGTGCCAGTAACTCATTTAAGCATTGAATTGCCAACTTTAAAAAAGCGAATACAACATGAAGCGCTAGGCGCTTCTTTCTCCAGTTATAATTCATACTGCCTATGACTGCCAACTGAAAACAGTTCAATACTTATATTTACTATTTTTGGAATCTGTTCATCTCATAGAAAATTGAATTAAACTTATTGTTATCCAGCATTTAGTTCAAATAATGTATGTATCGTGTGTGCTTTTTAATGAACAGAGTTACCATTGTGGTCAGTGGTCTCTAACTTAACAATTAAGACGTCAAAATAATGATGACGTCAACAATCGGTCCATGGCATTAATAGCCTATATGAATGCGTAACTGAATTCGGTAGGGTTATATAGTAGCAGTATACTATATATATATTCAATGTGTGTCTGATAAAATCTGTAACGGCATTATGACAATATTGTCACAAGCAGACATTATACAACAATCAACACATCAGTATAATTCCTTGATAACAAAAATTAACTCTTTATTACAAATCGATTGTTTCCCCATTTCATCAGGAGGAAGTCAGTCCACCGGAAATAACTGAACTTTTGAGTTGCTGCACGGACACTTACTCACGTGATCAAGTGAAGCACCTAGAGAGAGTCATCCTGAACGCCATTAAGTTTGATCTGTTGGTCCCCACGCCCCAGTTTTTCCTGGAGTACTTCTCTTCCTGTTGTATTTCACTGTTTGGGGGTTTCCAAAGTGACCGCCTCAGGTAGGTACCAACAGGGAGGCCATCCCTAAGCAACTTATCCAGACATTGTTCAAGGTAACGGGTACAACCACTACATCAGTTATAACAGAAGGTAACGGATACAACCACTACATCAGTTATAACAGAAGGTAACGGGTACAACCACTACATCAGTTATAACAGAAGGTATAACGGGTACAACCACTACATCAGTTATAACAGAAGGTAACGGGTACAACCACTACATCAGTTATAACAGAAGGTAACGGGTACAACCACTACATCAGTTATAACAGAAGGTAACGGGTACAACCACTACATCAGTTATAACAGAAGGTAACGGGTACAACCACTACATCAGTTATAACAGAAGGTAACGGGTACAACCACTACATCAGTTATAACAGAAGGTAACGGGTACAACCACTACATCAGTTATAACAGAAGGTAACGGGTACAACCACTACATCAGTTATAACAGAAGGTAACGGGTACAACCACTACATCAGTTATAACAGAAGGTAACGGGTACAACCACTACATCAGTTATAACAGAAGGTAACGGGTACAACCACTACATCAGTTATAACAGAAGGTAACGGGTACAACCACTACATCAGTTATAACAGAAGGTAACGGGTACAACCACTACATCAGTTATAACAGAAGGTAACGGGTACAACCACTACATCAGTTATAACAGAAGGTAACGGGTACAACCACTACATCAGTTATAACAGAAGGTAACGGGTACAACCACTACATCAGTTATAACAGAAGGTAACGGGTACAACCACTACATCAGTTATAACAGAAGGTAACGGGTACAACCACTACATCAGTTATAACAGAAGGTAACGGGTACAACCACTACATCAGTTATAACAGAAGGTAACGGGTACAACCACTACATCAGTTATAACAGAAGGTAACGGGTACAACCACTACATCAGTTATAACAGAAGGTAACGGGTACAACCACTACATCAGTTATAACAGAAGGTAACGGGTACAACCACTACATCAGTTATAACAGAAGGTAACGGGTACAACCACTACATCAGTTATAACAGAAGGTAACGGGTACAACCACTACATCAGTTATAACAGAAGGTAACGGGTACAACCACTACATCAGTTATAACAGAAGGTAACGGGTACAACCACTACATCAGTTATAACAGAAGGTAACGGGTACAACCACTACATCAGTTATAACAGAAGGTAACGGGTACAACCACTACATCAGTTATAACAGAAGGTAACGGGTACAACCACTACATCAGTTATAACAGAAGGTAACGGGTACAACCACTACATCAGTTATAACAGAAGGTAACGGGTACAACCACTACATCAGTTATAACAGAAGGTAACGGGTACAACCACTACATCAGTTATAACAGAAGGTAACGGGTACAACCACTACATCAGTTATAACAGAAGGTAACGGGTACAACCACTACATCAGTTATAACAGAAGGTAACGGGTACAACCACTACATCAGTTATAACAGAAGGTAACGGGTACAACCACTACATCAGTTATAACAGAAGGTAACGGGTACAACCACTACATCAGTTATAACAGAAGGTAACGGGTACAACCACTACATCAGTTATAACAGAAGGTAACGGGTACAACCACTACATCAGTTATAACAGAAGGTAACGGGTACAACCACTACATCAGTTATAACAGAAGGTAACGGGTACAACCACTACATCAGTTATAACAGAAGGTAACGGGTACAACCACTACATCAGTTATAACAGAAGGTAACGGGTACAACCACTACATCAGTTATAACAGAAGGTAACGGGTACAACCACTACATCAGTTATAACAGAAGGTAACGGGTACAACCACTACATCAGTTATAACAGAAGGTAACGGGTACAACCACTACATCAGTTATAACAGAAGGTAACGGGTACAACCACTACATCAGTTATAACAGAAGGTAACGGGTACAACCACTACATCAGTTATAACAGAAGGTAACGGGTACAACCACTACATCAGTTATAACAGAAGGTAACGGGTACAACCACTACATCAGTTATAACAGAAGGTAACGGGTACAACCACTACATCAGTTATAACAGAAGGTAACGGGTACAACCACTACATCAGTTATAACAGAAGGTAACGGGTACAACCACTACATCAGTTATAACAGAAGGTAACGGGTACAACCACTACATCAGTTATAACAGAAGGTAACGGGTACAACCACTACATCAGTTATAACAGAAGGTAACGGGTACAACCACTACATCAGTTATAACAGAAGGTATAACGGGTACAACCACTACATCAGTTATAACAGAAGGTAACGGGTACTACCACTACATCAGTTATAACAAAAGGTAACGGATACAACCACTACATCAGTTATAACAAAAGGTAACGGGTACAACCACTACATCAGTTATAACAGAAGGTAACGGGTACAACCACTACATCGGTTATAACAGAAGGTATAACGGGTACAACCACTACATTAGTTATAACAGAAGGTAACGGATACAACCACTACATCAGTTATAACATAAGGTAACGGGTACTACCACTACATCAGTTATAACAAAAGGTAACGGGTACTACCACTACATCAGTTATAACAAAAGATAACGGATACAACCACTACATCAGTTATAACAAAAGGTAACGGGTACTACCACTACATCAGTTATAACAAAAGGTAACGGGTACTACCACTACATCAGTTATAACAAAAGATAACGGATACAACCACTACATCAGTTATAACAAAAGGTAACGGGTACACCCACTACATCAGTTATAACAGAAGGTAACGGGTACTACCACTACATCAGTTATAAGAGAAGGTAACGGGTACAACCACTACATCAGTTATAACAGCAAACGTTGTTCCACTTCAGGAAAAAAGTTTGTTTTCAGACTGTGTTTTTACCGATAACGGAAAAACGAAAAGCATGTTTTTTTCTTACTTGCTTCTCTCCTGTTTCGATATTTTTCTTCCATTTTGATGTGCTGTGCATTTTTAATTCATAGATAACAACATCTGTGAAGTACATGATTGACAGTGTATAAATCTTCAGCTTGGCTCCTGTTTTTTTTCTTTCAAATACTAACATTTCAAATAATTGTAAATTTATAAAATACATACGGAGATGTGATCATTTGGATATCTTCTCGCTGCGCTTCATGAAAGTGACATTGATAATTATGTAATTAGTGGTTACGTTTACCTAAAGGTAACACGTTCTCAGCATCATTTATTTTTATGTGTGTTTTATGAAAACAGATATTGTTGTATGCTCATCCTGTATTTCTTGTCATAATGTCTTTATGTTTCATAATTGTATCAAGCTGTTTCAAAGAGTTTTAACCCCAACAATACCAAACCAGATACTGTATATTTTAGAATCAAAGTGGTATATTCACATTGAGAATGAATCGAAACCCTTATTGATAATCACAAATAAAATAACTTGTTTCTGCGTAACGAAAAGTAAGAACACATTGTAACACCACGCTGCCTAGTGCTATTTCGATGTAAAATTACCAAAAGAAAATGACACATACTTAAGGTAAATGGTTTATACTGTTACAGGTCTGATCGGGAATGTTGTGTACAGATATCGGGTTTCTTGCTCAATTTTATACAGCTAGAGAATACTATATCCCAAAAGAGGTGATGGCATATGTATTGCCCCCAATAGTTTTGATATTTGTCTTGTTTTGGTTGTTTTATAGACAGGCGCGTGCGCATGCGCGGTGCGTTCTGGAGCTATCGCTGCAGGAGTACGACCTGAGCCAGGTTCGTCCGTCCCTACTGGCCCTGTGTGTGTGGAAAGTGGCCGTAGATCTGACGCAATGTGACGACGGAGAGTTTGTTCCACCGGGGCTGGACTTCCGGCGAGAGGAGTTCCAAAATATCTACACACAAGTCAGAACATTTTCAGAAAATTTGAAGAAGAGTTTCCCCGAGGTCAGCAGTATTTGTGAATATTACTTCAACTTGTACGGAGCAGAGTAAACAGTGAAGTCATACTTTAACGAAATGTCACTTCTATTCGTATGAAGACGTATTAGCCGACTTCTTGCATTGCTATGGTGCTAAAATATGTATTGACATTCTTGTCAACCTCTTTTTGTTACATAAGACAGATCAACTTTGTTTTGTCCCGTGAACTATGTAAAGCAGGCTGATAGGAATTCTTGTTTGGCTATATGGAAGCACTGCACTCACACCTATTCGTACCCCCCCCCCCCCCTAAAAAGGAAGGCGTGGTGTACATTTTGGGGGGAGTTAGACCCCTTTATATGTTGTTTTTTTTTCCAGAAGAACAACATAGATGTTTCATATGAACGTTGTTTACATAGCAGTATACATGTATGAGGACGTTATTTGCTATGCATTTCATTTATCATTGTGTTAGCTATTCCACTACATGCTACAGATCATACGATTAGTCCTAGAGAGGTACAGCACTGGGTAAACGTTGGTCCGGAGAATTCTAAGTAACTGCACGTGTTCATAAAGAAAAGGTTAGATTGATTACGAAAGTTTTGCAGTAAATGTGAACATGTTACATAAGACTGTTGATGAAACTCATTGTTAAGCTATTTAGTTATACATCATTCCAGTACTTTAGATCGGTATATACATCATTCCAGTACTATAGATCTGTATATACATCATTCCAGTACTATAGATGTGTATATACATCATTCCAGTACTATAGATGCGTATATACATCATTCCAGTACTATAGATCTGTATATACATCATTCCAGTACTAAAGATCTGTATATACATCATTCCATTACTATAGATCTGTATAATCATCATTCCAGTACTAAAGATCTGTATATACATCATTCCATTACTATAGATCTGTATATACATCATTCCATTACTATAGATCCGTATATACATCATTCCAGTACTATAGATCTGTATATACATCATTCCAGTACTATAGATCCGTATATACATCATTCCAGTACTATAGATCCCTATATACATCATTCCAGTACTATATATCTGTATATTTACATTGCACTATTATGACATTGTGTGTTAATTGACATTGTTCCATTGCCTACTCTAGATTTCGTCTCATTTATCACTTCCTGTTCTTGGTAACATTCACAACTTTCGGTTTATATCAACGTCTGATGTTCACTTCCGTCCTGCAATTTAAACAACTGTAATGCTACATTGCACATATCTCTTTGTTTAAGTTCCATGTGTACAATGGTAATTCATGCTCGCAGTTTTTCAAATTTGGGAAATTCATGTGTTATATTTAAGTTAAAATTATTACACAAAAAACCAGTGCACTTTACAGTGCTTTCTTACGTTGTTAAATAACGTCGTACATGTAACACCTCTGAGGCTTAATAACCGTGTACTCAGGTTTAATACAGTAGTTCTGTCCACTTCCGCGTTAAATAACTGCATTCTTCCAATATTTAATAACAGTTTAAACTTCAGGTGTTCTATTCCTTATACACTTCCGGTGATTGTTTATGCCCACTTCCGGTGTAGGATATGATACACACCACATGTGTTTATTTCCGTGTATACCTTGGTGTTTGATTTCTACATTATATCTGATAATGACGTTTGGTCCTTTATGATGTCGTCATCATGATAGAAGTTGTTCCATTGCATGCTGTCGATGTATTTGAGTGACAACGGTTGTACATGTACTTTATTTGAATATATCGGAGTTGTATAATTTATATTCAAAAGTAATACTGTTCATTATTGAAAAAAAGGTATGATATTATTTCATTATTTATTGTACTTGTATCTAGAAGTTTGCATTTATATTTTGTTCAAAGTTTGATAACATCTACTCCCAGTTTATATAGCATGTTGATAGTGTTATTTACTACTGATTTCCCGTTACACCTGTTAGCATTAGGGCACGTTTTATATGCTTTTTCTCATAAATTATCTGTTTGTTTTCGTTTTTCCAGACTTCTTAGTTGTGGTAAGCATATAGCTATACTATACCATACTGTCTAACTAGTGTACCTAACTGTTGTTTGTATGTCAGTCACTGTGTCTGGCCAACTATACCACATCATGCTTATTTTTCTGTACGTTGACTTTGATCCTATAGTAACTACTGTATATTGAACATGCGTGTTTCAATGTCACTGATTTGTATCTAAATGCAGCATGTGAATATGTTCCATAGCTCAGTATGTATGTACCACACGTCTGTGAATATGTTGTCCATATCTCAGTATGTATGTAACACACGTCTGTGAATATGTTGTCCATATCTCAGTATGTATGTAACACACGTCTGTGAATATTGTCCATACCTCAGTATGTATGTACCACACGTCTGTTATTTGTTGTCCATATCTCAGTATATCTGTAACACACATGTGTGAATATTGTCCATACCTCAGAATGTATGTACCACACAAGTGTGAATATTGTCCATACCTCAGTATGTATGGACCACACAAGTGTGAATATTGTCCATACCTCAGTATGTATGTGCCACACATGTGTGAATATGTTCCAAACCTCAGAATGTATGTACCACACGTGTGTGAATATGTTCCATACCTCAGTATGTATGTACCACACATGTGTATTGTCCATACCTCAGTATGTATGGACCACACAAGTGTGAATATTGCCCATGCCTCAGTATGTGTGCACCACACGTCTGTGAATATGTTCCAAACCTCAGTATGTATGTACCACACATGTGTATTGTCCATACCTCAGTATGTATGGACCACACAAGTGTTAATATTGTCCATACCTCAGTATGTATGTGCCACACATTTGTGAATATGTTCCAAACCTCAGAATGTATGTACCACACGTGTGTGAATATGTTCCATACCTCAGTGTGTATGTACCACACATGTGTGAATATTGTCCATGCCTCAGTATGTATGTACCACACATGTGTGAACATTGTCCATACCCCAGACTGTATGTACCACACGTCGTATGTACCACACGTCTGTGAATATGTTGTCCATATCTCAGTATATCTGTAACACACATGTGTGAATATTGTCCATACCTCAGAATGTATGTACCGAACATGTGTCTATATGTTACATTCCTCAGTATGTATGTACCACACATGTGTGAATATTTTCCATACCTCAGTATGTATGTACCACACATGTGCGAATATTGTCCATACCCCAGAATGTATGTACCACACGTCTGTGCATATGTTCCTAACCTCAGTATGTATGTACCCCACATGTGTGAATATTGTCCATACCTCAGAATGTATGTACCAACACAAGTGTGAATATTGTCCATACCTCAGTATTTATGAACCACACGTCTGTGAATATGTTCCATATCTCAGTATGTATGTACCACACATGTGTGACTATTGTCCATACCTCAGAATGTATGTACCACACAAGTGTTAATATTGTCCATACCTCAGTATGTATGGACCACACAAGTGTGAATATTGCCCATGCCTCAGTATGTGTGCACCACACGTCTGTGAATATGTTCCAAACCTCAGTATGTATGTCCCACACATGTGTGAATATGTTCCATACCTCAGAATGTATGTACCACACATGTGTGAATATTGTACATACCTCAGTATGGATGGACCACAAAAGTGTGAATATTGTCCATACCTCAGTATTTATGAACCACACGTCTGTGAATATGTTCCATATCTCAGTATGTATGTACCACACATGTGTGACTATTGTCCATACCTCAGAATGTATGTACCACACAAGTGTTAATATTGTCCATACCTCAGTATGTATGTGCCACACATGTGTGAATATGGTCCAAACCTCAGAATGTATGTACCACACGTGCGTGAATATGTTCCATACCTCAGTATGTATGTACCACCCATGTGTGAATATTGTCCATACCCCAGAATGTATGTACCACACGTCTGTGCATATGTTCCTAACCTCAGTATGTATGTACCCCACATGTGTGAATATTGTCCATACCTCAGAATGTATGTAACACACGTGTGTGAATATTGTCGATACTTCAGTATGTATGGACCACACATGTGTGAAAATTGTCCATACCTCAGTATGTATGTACCACGCATGTGTGAATATTGTCCATACCTCAGTACGTATGGACCACACAAGTGTGAATATTGTCCATCCCTCAGTATGTATGTGCCACACATGTGTGAATATGGTCCAAACCTCAGAATGTATGTACCACACGTGTGTGAATATGTTCCTAACCTCAGTATGTATGTACCACACATGTGTATTGTCCATACCTCAGTATGTATGGACCACACACGTGTGAATATTGCCCATACCTCAGTATGTGTGCACCACACGTCTGTGAATATGTTCCAAACCTCAGTATGTATGTCCCACACATGTGTGAATATGTTCCATACCTCAGAATGTATGTACCACACAAGTGTTAATATTGTCCATACCTCAGTATGTATGTGCCCCACATGTGTGAATATGTTCCAAACCTCAGAATGTATGTATCACACGTGTGTGAATATGTTCCATACCTCAGTGTGTATGTACCACACATGTGTGAATATGTTCCATACCTCAGAATGTATGTACCACACAAGTGTGAATATTGTCAATACCTCAGTATGTATGTACCACACATGTGTATTGTCCATACCTCAGTATGTATGGACCACACAAGTGTTAATATTGTCCATACCTCAGTATGTATGGACCACACAAGTGTTAATATTGTCCATACCTCAGTATGTATGGACCACAAAAGTGTGAATATTGTCCATACCTCAGAATGTATGTAACACACGTGTGTGAATATTGTCGATACTTCAGTATGTATGGACCACACATGTGTGAAAATTGTCCATACCTCAGTATGTATGTACCACGCATGTGTGAATATTGTCCATACCGCAGTATGTATGGACCACACAAGTGTGAATATTGTCCATACCTCAGTATTTATGAACCACACGTCTGTGAATATGTTCCATACCTCAGTATGTATGTACCACACAAGTGTGAATATTGTCCATACCTCAGTATGTATGGACCACACAAGTGGGAATATTGTCCATACCTCAGTATGTATGGACCACACAAGTGTGAACATTGCCCATACCTCAGTATGTGGGTACCACACGTCTGTGAATATGTTCCTAACCTCAGTATGTATGTACTACACATGTGTGAATATTGTCCATGCCTCAGTATGTATGTACCACAAATGTGTGAATATTGTCCATACCGCAGTATGTATGGACCACACAAGTGTGAACATTGCCCATACCTCAGTATGTATGTATCACACATGTGTGAAGTTGTATGTACCACACATGTGTGAATATTGTCCATACCTCAGTATGTATGTATCACACATGTGTGAAGTTATGGAACTCCTCTACCACACAGTCATATTTGTATCAGTATGCACAACACTTCAGCACTTACATGCATATATACAATACCAGTATACAAAACTTAAGTATTTGAAACAGAACTCTTTGACACATGTATATATATAGAACATGTGGATAGACTTGTATATTTGTGTCGGTCTACGTCCTTAAATGACCTTAGCTTTTAATATGACGTTAAACAAAATGCAACCAAAACTAAAATTGTGTCAGTCTCTATCCACAGTTGTCTTTCTTGTTCCGTTTATCCAGGGGTTACGCTCAGCGAAAGTAAGCGTAACCCGTGGATAACCTTAAGTTTATTAGCCATATTGTTGTGTCTACCAAACTTGTTATTTGGTATAAACCGTATGTAGGAACCTATTTACCACCCATATACACTTGTGTATGTTCATGTGCCACTTGTGTGAGTAAGAAAATGTACACAAAAACGTGTTCATTGCATATTGACCACATGTGTATATCACACGTGTGTAAATGGGTAACATTTATATAGACGAACTACATACTTGTCAACATATATTTATATGTGTCTGCATCAGACGTGAGATCTCATGCCCACTGCTTTTGATATTGTTTTTTCTATGATTAAGGACGGTTGAGCTACATCCTAGCGATGATATGAAGTGCTGTATGTTTATAACCAATGAATTCTCGCATGTGACAGTGCTTACACGCCAAATCTATTTCTTTACAACGATATAAATAGTTTGTTTGAAGAATTAAACATTCCGACCCAAAACAGTCTTGTGTTTTTAATACTATACATTAATTCAGGATGAAAATTAAATATGACTACATATCGGAAACTCTAGACCAATACTATTACTTATACCTATGTAATAGACAAAAGACGACCACGTCAGCGATGACATTAGGCTTAACACAGGTCAGCATCAGATGTTTGCAGATTGGACAACAGAATATACAGGAGCCTAAAACAAATACGCACGCATTTCTTGGTTCCACCTCTTTATTAGACAAGAACATACATTTAGATACACGTGACGAAGCCTTTAGATGTAACCAACATGCTTTTGTATTAAATGAGGAAAAACATAACTAGGAATTCGACAATGTTGACAAAACAAATCAACCTTTTCCTCGCCCCGTAGATAGCCACGTGCCCTTCGATATTCCACCATATTACCATACATTTCTCAAGCAACGTTAAGCGAAAGTTACTGCCAAGTCGTAGTGCCTGGTATAACATGAATCCTTTTCTGTAGTTGTTGAAGGACGAATCACAGATTAAACTTTCTTCTGCTAGCAGTATACACTGTACTGGGTTTGCGATGTGAGAGGATTATTAAGAGATGAATCGAAACAACTTCACTCTTCAACTTTTCATTTTATTCCCGGAACAGGAAGTCAAACAACAAAACAGAAACAAGATACGGAGACGTAATACAATAATACACAAAAACGGTTCATTTCAGATATTCTATTGATGGTTATATTATAATAATTATATACCATGTATATAACATCCCCCCAGCAAAACAAAAATTGACCCGTTATTCTTTTCAAACAACCATCAATTGAATATATATTCTAATGCTATACTGGCATCTTTTTTTTTTTTACTAATTTGAAATAGGCAAAAATAAACTGATTATACAATTTACATACGGTTTCGTGTACACAACTACTTGTAACAGTTATACATGAAGTGTACCAAAAAAAGTGTTTTAGAAATCAAGATGATTGAATAATTATCAAAAATGAACAAGCTTACAGCACTGACAGCTAATTTCACATTGCTAGTAACACAACAATGAAGTAACAGGATATGGTAAAGTTATGTTCTGGCCAAAATATTGATGTAATAAAATGTTAATGGTTGATCAAGGTAACTATAGGCTTCATTGGGGAACAACGTCCATCAAAAATGAATAAGTATCCTCTAGAATGTCACGATCTAAGATTCACAAATCATTATGCTAATAATAGTGCTCAATTTGATAAATGTCTACTTATACACAAGCTCCTGAGGAAGATCACTTCTTTTTCCTGTTAAAAATGCTAGCATGTCCTTGCTGTCAATAGAAACACATGCTTCAGGGACTGATGTCGGTACTGACCTAGCAGCTTTCAAACGTGGTCCCGGAGACGGCACTGTCCGTGTTCTCACTCAAAACAAAGCTCCAAATCGTAAGTTTTCAAAATGTGCAACACTTTATCCGGAATCATAGTGGTGAGTTGATCAATTTACAAATAAGTCACATCAGTCATCACTGATCCAAACATGCAACACGGGACAGAAAGTAATTCGAGAAACCAAACGTGGCAAATGTCTGCCCGACATCTGACGCACGTTAATTAAAACAAAAATGCAACTCAACCGGCAAGTGCCGGGGCCAAAACAACACTCTAAGTTATAAGAGCGAAGCTCTTTACCGGTAACATGTGCGTGTAAATAGATGTGATCCAAACTTCCATCACTAAATCGTACAGCTACAGCCTAGAAACTTTTCGTACTTCCGGTGACCTGTTCCGGTTCATGGAGCCCGTAAATATGCCTAATCGAATAAAAAAGCGACATGTAACGTAGCAGGAAAATTATGTATTCGAACCAACGAATTAAAAAAAAAATATTGACCATATTCAATACACTGGGCGTGTTTATTTCCTCGATTTCTTTCCTTTTGTAACGAAAAGATAAATCATCGGCATGGTCATTAAAAAGCTTACATGAATGTCACAAGCTAATGGCGTCGAAGAGTGCGTAAGAATGTGATTAGATGACAAACTGTATTACCGTCGATTAAATTAGCTTAGATTTTGGAAAGAAATACATAATTTGATACTGACAACTTTCTAAACATACACATTTTCCATCTAAATATTGATAATCGATCGTAACACACGAGGGTCATTCCCACTAGGACGGAAATACCCGAGTATGTACGAAGCAGGGTCAATGACGAGGTCGCTTGGTTCATTGACGAGGTCAAAGTTCACGGGTCGTCTGCTATTGTCACCGACAGCTTTCCAAGGGAAAACGTAAGGTGTTTCAAAGGGTCAAATTTCGGAATTTTCAGTATTACTACTCTTGTTTTTTTCTGCATTTATTGTAGAACGTCAACTGTATATTCAGTTCTTATTAATTCTTCTATTTGGGGATCGTTTCTGTTGATATTTAATTTGATCCAAATTTGTGATATTACCTTACAGTAGATTTTACAACTAAAACTGTTGAATTTCAATGCTAGATCTGCTTGTACAAAATATTCATTATTGAATCTAGTTTCATCTAATGCAACCAAATTAACAATCACTTAAAAAGACAAACATTATCTGTACAGTTTTGTACAGTAAAATATCTTTATTGATACTTAGATAAATATAAACTTTAAACGCTTGACAATTTTTACTTCCGTTCAACTGTGTAAATCATTACAGCATTTTGATTAGACATTGAAGTGGACACATTAGTTTGCTCTGCTTTATGAATATCAGTAAAGAAGAGAATTAAAAACATTATATTTTCACCACTTTTATTTTTGTTAACAGATTGCATAATATGCGACTGTCAGCAACCATTTCTAATCAAAATCAAAACTATTCTGCATATGATGTACCTGGTGATTATTTTTATTCAACCACATTTAACACCAATATTGACTCAAGAACAACAAGTCCATCATGAAACTGACATCAATGCCATCAACACAATCATCACTGAAACTTCACTTGCAAAGAAATGGTTTTAGCTGATATGCCAATCTACCTATAGGTATCTACAAAAAAAATTATGACAACAGCGACGATGAGGAGGAGGAATCTCCTGCTGTAGATACCTGGAATTTTAACGTAAATAATCAGTACAAACATTAAGTTTCATCATTTCACATGGATTATCTGAATTATTAAAAGGAAAATCTAAAATCTCCATTTTCTACTTATAGTGGTGGGAGACGTGACAGTCTCTAACCTGCTGTGTCTAACATGCTAAATATATTTAAATCAAAAACAGATACATCCTTCATGGATTGGCATATCAGCTCAAACCATTTGTTTAAACATTCTGCCTACAACACACGATATCATTTTTATTCTATGTTTTTTTTTCAAATGGTAGAATCTATTTGTTTCTTTTGGATAAAAATAATAATACATATTATTATGAACATACACGAGTAGAGGGAGGGGGTATATACTGGTAGTCTTGGATAAAACAAGAACCAAATAATGATTCTATTAATATCAATGTGGTCTAGTAGTACTGTAGTACAATCAGTCAACTTCAAACTAATATGTGATGCGTCATATTGGTGTAGTGTGACTGTGGATCATTCTAAAACAGAGCACACATAAGTACAAGGATGAATGATTTTGCCCAGCAACAGATTCAAGTATATAATAAAAAAAACAATTATAGGTACATTTTGTATGTATTAAAATGGGTATTAAATGTTATGATTCCAAAATTATACTATACTATTGATATGTACGAGCTTCGCTCTCTCCAGGCCATGCCTGAGTCATATTATCACTCTACATTATGTCCAATTTGGATTCTCCACCATATACTGGGTTTGCGATGTGAGAGGATTATTAAGAGATGAATCGAAACAACTTCACTCTTCAACTTTTCATTTTATTCCCGGAACAGGAAGTCAAACAATAAAACATAGAAACAAGATACGGAGACGGAATACAATAATACACCAACACGGTTGATTCCAGATATTCTATTGATGGTTATGATATAATATATACCATGTATATAAAAACACGGTTGAAATTCGCCTACGTATCAGTATTTATTACCGGAGAGAGAAAACCGCATGTCTTGGTTAAGTGGTCTTCGTGATATGTCTGATGACAGCATATTGTGTCGATCAAGCTGTTACTGAAAGTAGTACCTCGACAGTTCTGTGCTAATAGGCAGTTTGTAAACATGTCCTGAATTAAGAGTGTTTAAGGGATTGTTGATGTGTCGTTGTGCGCCATATAAATACGAAAAACGCATGTATTATAAATGGCACTGTTTGTTATCAATTTTAACTCGTGTTTCACAATGTGAACATTGTTTTCCTTGGTCTAATCAGGTTTTCATTTCTCCATCACTGATAAGTATCCAGCAGTATAAAAGAAAATAACAATATATGATCAAATGTGATTTTACCGACCCTCCGCTGTATGTAGTAAGAACGCCTGTGGAGGACGTAATCCCTGGAATTTCAGTGGTGATACTTCGGGAAGAGAGCAGACCTTCTGATGTATCCGAGTACATCTCATAGGAGACGATTAAAATCTTAGATGGTCAATTAAAATACAAAGACTGAATAGTGATAGCAATCCCACATGGAGTCAGAAAACATTATGATATAAACAAACAGATAGCCGCATTGCCCTTCGATGTTCACATAAAAGTTTCCAGGGTATACTATACATGTTATACAAAATCCGCGATAGACTAAATACCCGTGTATAACATTCACCGCCTTCCTGTTTATATGTAACTTGCATTGTAATCGCTTTAAAGCCATGCATATTTGCTGACATTTATATGAATTTATATAGATTGCAAACAGCAACCGAACTCATAGAGTATATACTAAATTGTAAGTCTTGAGAAGTAAAGGTAAACAGAATCGCTGCATGGATACTTTGTATATACCTAAGTTATCGCCACAAATCTACCATTTTAACACGCCCACGAGGCGTTTACAATACGATCGACATCTACCGAAGAGGCCATTGACGTCCGCATATGATGTGGCTTAGTAAATCATTTCTGAAAAGAAACTTTTTGTAGAAAAGATAATTGAGACGAAATAAATAACAACAATGAATAATGTACTGAAAATAAAGATAACGGAGTCAGACTGGAATTCGAACCCCGGACCGCCGATCACAATGTTGTCGCGCTAACCAACTGAGCTACCGGATCAGTGCTAGGTCTCTGGCCCAGTCCTTCTACAGCTACATCACAAAAGAAACTAAAGGGAGGCTACTATGTGTATGAAAAAGATAGAGGGAATTTCTATAGTGATTCTTAAAATCTTGATGCCGTCTTCATAAAAAAGACAATGAAACGCAGCACCTGCGATCTCGAGTCTGTACTGACAGTAGCACATAATCAGTAAGGAAGAAATATGTATCGTTTTAACAAGCTGTGACATAACAAGCAGCCCATTTTGTTACAAAGCTTTATAACAGTAAATGTGAACGTGATACCAACCTACAAAGTGATTAAAGGCAAAGCCGGCTTCCTTATTTTAGAGAGATCTGTATGTTCTAAAGTCACATGGGGCTTTACTATCTTTTCTACGATGAAATATACATTTTACTATAGTTTTCCTTGCCTCCAATTTGTAAAACAGTACCACAATTTCACAGATTTCTGATATTGTAAATACTTTCTACCGTTTTGACAGCAGAGTATATACATACCAACGTAGTCGACTCACATAATCATTTCTATGATATTTATAAGCAGTGGCTTCTGGTTTGGTTTGGCTTAGAGTTGAAATACTCTTCATATAGACGTGAAGAATATATTGGATGCTTTCAAAATCAGGTTATTTTGTTTCCAAATATGTTTTTTTGTGAACTATGAATTATTGATAATGGAAGCTAGAATTTGCTTCTGTGCCCTAACAAACTGCCAAACTAACCGTGAGATACAAAATATGTATCAATCTCACAATGATGTTTTAAAGATAGCTTTAAATCAAGATGCCTTCCTTTTATTATTTCTGAAGTACAGTTGCTTATTTTTAATATGGGACGTCCGTTTAACGAATGTATTACGTCTTTCAAATACTGTTAAGCTGAAATGCACAATATTGCACGGTTCAAAAACGAATATCTTCTGGATAAAGGATATTCCCGTCATATCCCATAATATATTCTGGCATTTTCAGAGGATGACTGTACACCGCCATCAGTCCACCCTCCCCAACAACGCACACGCCCTCATCACACACACCAAAAAAGAGAGAAAAGAACCTCTGTAGTCTTCTGTTCTATTAAAGCTCTTTGGACTGGGAACGATCCCCAAAATATATCGTTGCATGATAAAAATCAAACTCTTTTCCTATACATGTTTTTGGATGTAAGCTGAACAGCTGATTTTAGCACTATACAATTTCACATATGATGAATTCCGTGTAGCTACAGGGTAAGTCCCTCAGCTTCCCAAGGCTGTGATCATACGTCAGACAGTCATCGTTGTCAGTGTCAATAACCTCCGCCCTACTATGTAGCCACGTCATCAGCTCCCCGTTAGGCAATTTCCATGTGCCTTCAACATCCACATCCGTTCCCGCCAAAAAGTATCTTCCGGTTTCTGTAATAGTATAACAGTCATATAATTCTTCTCAATGACGACACCAGTGACTTTATATGTCGGTATATATATGATATTGATCTTACAGGTGGCGTCCTTAGAGAAGATGCATCATTAGTATTTGTGTCACAACTACATAATATACAATTTTATGTTTGCAATTTTCGGTCGAATTTCAATCGAGATGAACTATTGCTTCCTATTTAGAATAAATAAGATAAAATAAAAGTGTAATGTGCCGTTTAAGAAATTCTACTTTAGCGTACACATATGTGCAGCTTGATTTCGTAACTTGAACTTTGTGCTTCCGGTTCGCTTTCCAACAACAAGGGGAATAACTCTGTTTAATAATAAATGTAATAAATCTGTTTCTAAACAAAACAAGCAACATGAATAGAACTTTCGATTAGTCGACTTGGATTCAACAAAGTTATTTATTTATTCTATAGTTACGTACGAATAATTGCTATGATTGCGTCGTATTTTTCCACACTGGTCATCCAGACGAGGCGAGCGCCCTCTGTCTGACAGTACTGGTCACCGTCGGCAGGGGTCATTGTTTGGCTGGTTACCAGCATGATGCAATAGGCTCCGCCCACAATTTGGAAGTTTGATGGACACACTGAAAATATGCAGCATTTGGTTGTTTCTATGCATAAATATCGTTACTCCAAACTACTAGAATACGTTTTTTTTACATAAACCTAGACCATTGATTCGACAATAAGGTAGTCCATTCAGAGGAAAACGTGGGAGTTAAACATTGGTTTCGTCAACATCAACATCTTAACTGAAAATCTAGACTTTTAAAGACTACAACATCAGATAAAAACGTTTTCGTTTCGCTCCTGTCATATATCACCATATCGCCCTAAGTGGTACTGTGTTTTGAGAGTTAACAAAGACTAACTGTTTTTCATTTGATTTTGAAGACCGTTTGACAAAAGATCATCAAAAAACTTCAAAGTAGCATGCTTCTTGGCCGCTCTAGTGGGGTTTCGCACACATGCCTTTGGCGCTCGTACACAGGCATTTGACGCTCGTACACAGGCCTTTGGCGCTCGTACACAGGCCTTAGGCGTTCGTACACAGGCTTTTGGCGCTCGTTCATAGGCCTTTGGCGCTCGCACACAGGCTTTTGGCGCTCGTACACAGGCTTTAGGCGCTCGTACACAGGCTTTTGGCCCGTCGATCTTGCACTTTTGGCGCGAAGGGCAAACACAGATATCACAATAACATGTGGAGTCAACCCCTTTCAAAATTCCTGAATCCGCCCCTTTATGATTAAATCTAGACTTCATACAAAACTCCACCGATGGTTTGCAGTTTCATTTCACTGTTACACTGACACAATACTGCCTTCAACCATTCAATTATGTTTTAGTTGTGATATTTTGCAATTTAAAGTCGCATAGTATGTACGTTATATTGATTTCTTTGATATTTGTCTTGTCCCTGATTCACAGAAAAGGAAAGTATATCACGAATAACTGATCTACCTGTTAACCGCCAGAAATTCATGAATTTATTAACTACAAACTATTCAAAATTTTAAGTTATAACTACTATATCGCCTCCCACGAAAGACCAAGCAATCGGCATGCCTTTAACTGGAAATAACGGAAGTCAAATGTTAACGGTGAGAAAGGTGAACGGATTGAAGCGAAAATAAGGAAATTGGCAAAACTCGATCGAGGATAGCTAGTAGAGATGTTTTGGAGAGGTGGAAAAAGGAAATTGTATCTCTGCATGTGAGTTGGGACACCAAAAAGGTCCAGGTAATATAACAAATACCCCACATACAATTCATGTAAGGTGAGATGGGAAAAGACATTTGTCGATACTTACGTGTGACTGTAAAGTCCAAACTTGTCCAAGTGGTATCAGCCTTACATGTTATATTCGGATTTCCGGATATGATAGGTGAATAGGAAGAGTTGGCAACGGACTCGTAACTAATGGTGATTCCTATTGGCCGTAAACCGGACGTAGTTGATGACGTAATTTCCGGCGGATCTGAACATTCTTAAAACGAAAACAATCTTACTCATAACCTTACTGATACAGAAGTTTGGATGTAAATGTACGTCGATATAGCCAAACAAATCCGACAATATTCAACATAGTAACAACTGCCAAAAATAACGAGTAATTATACATGTTGGATTAAAAATAAAAATCCAAACTAGAGGTACATGTATTTCCAAACTATACTGAAATAACAAAAAAAATACTCCATCAAGAAATAAATAACTCAAAGCAAGAATGATAATGAAAACAGCCAATCTGATCAAGCAAAAAAGATAATATTTAAAATGCTGAATAAGTAAGTGTGCATCATGTTAACAATCGCCTTCTAGCAGTTCAAAATTTACCCAGTGATTGTGAACGGGTTTGTATGGACAATTATACTTCACGAATACCCACTTGAGAACGTAAAAATTCCACAATACCACAATAATCTTGACGTAAACAGTCGGACCACGACATTCATTGCTGATGTATTTACCACTCTATGACATAACCACTATATAACCCTACCAAGGTCACATGACATCGACTGTCATGACCAACGTGTTGACATTATTATGACGTCATAATTGTAGTGTTTGTTACCACTGACCCAACCTTGAAAATTGCTCTTCTTTACATTAAACACGCATACACAAAGTCGATGCTTAATTTTGATGAAGAAATTAAATTTTTCATGAAATCTAAATATTAAAAAATAAAATATAAAAATATAAATGTTTGACAGCTTTCAGTTGGCATTTATAGGCAATATGAATGCCCTTCATGTAATTAATCACGTTCCAGTCGGCATTTATATATGGACTATAAGTGCCAATTGAAAGCAGTTCAAAGCTTAAAAGAATGCCTGTTAATTAACTAACATTTGATAGCAGTAATGCAAGGCAATAGTAAATATTAGTCAATACTTAAACATTTGACTGATATGAGTTACTATTTGTTAATCTGGTAGCAGTGCAATATTTATATAGGGTAGTTTTTTCTTGTTTAATGAAAGAATAGGGATTTTCCAAGGACAGTCAGTTGCAATTACAATTATGACGTCATAACAATCATGACGTCAACAAGCATTAACCTTCATACATATGTATCTGATAGGAATATCATCCACGTTAAGTAACGTTTATTACGTGTACTGGCAAAACCATACAGTATTAATGAACACCAACTGGATGTAGTATTATCACGCAGAAAATGTTAATACATCATTGTATGTTACCGTAAATAACCTGTTAAAACTCAGTTTCTTTCTCATACCGTACTTACCAGTATTAATACATACAATACTGCCCGAGGACAGTTCAGTACATCTTTGTCCGACCGCACAAGGCTTTTCTGAACAGTTACCAACGATACTCTGAAAAGGAGAAGATATAATATGATGATTTCGACTCTATCTTATACATATCTATCGAGAAACAAAAAGTGATACTTACTAATATCAACAAGATGTTACAATATTGTTCTCCTTGTTCCATACATTTTCATATTGATTTATAAACATTATCTAGTACGACATTCCCTCGACTGGAATAAGGTACAGCTCTGTGGTCAACTATCGCCAAACTAAAACACGTTTTCCTACTTCTATATGTTTCCTGTGTAGGAGTACTGGTATCACAGGATGTTATATAGTAAAGGCAAAGACGAAAGCACCGAACAGGGGAAAACTGTAAGCGATATGAAGATTGATTGCATCTGGTAAAAGAAGACTAGAGGTTGAGGGGTTTTAAATTCATTAACTAGTTCGTCGGCCATGTCACCAGTAGATAATTATATAACCTGTCATGTCACCAGTAGGATAATTATATAACCTGTCATTCCACAAGAAACATTAATATCGTAACAAATATTGAACCCGGACTTTTCGTACACGTCTACTTGAAATATGACCTCAATTTAAGCAAGACTCGCGAGAAATTCCCGCCTGAAACTTGTTTCTGCTTAAGTGCACAAATAAATCGAATGTACATGTTCGACACAAAGTCATGTGCTTAGGCAATATCAACAGAATCATGGGGATATCCTCTGGTTGTAAAATCTACTTTCCATTGATTAACAATATAGCCTTTTCTAATAGATGTCAGAAACGAAACTGGACAAAACTCCTTTGAAAATATGATGGGATTGACGCTGCTGTAAGACCCAATCTAACAACATAAAAGAATTACCAGCCCAGGAAGTTTGATCCGAGGCAACAGAAACCGATGACTAGAAAAGAGTCCACCATGATGATATTGTCTTCAACCTTCTGAAACTACAAAATCTTGAAAGAACAAGAGGCCCAATGGGCCTGAATCGCTCACCTGGTATTAATCTCACACTTGTAATCTTAAAAGTGAACTAATATACAGCTACAGGCAAAATATCTGTGTTCGATTCATATGAATCTATTAAAATGAATTTAACATATGGAGCCTGTGACCTTGAAAGGCGAAAAGGACATTAAGTTGAACAGGCCTCTTGGTAATTCAGAAGAAGTTGTTTAAAGGTTTTAAACATATTTGACCCCTGTGACCTTGAGAATGGGTGAAGGTCATTTGTTTAAGCAAACTTGGTAGCCCATCATCCCAACATGTTACTGGCCAAATATCATCATCCAAGGCCTTTTGGTTATTGAAAAGAAGTTGTTTAAAGGTTTTAAACATATTTGACCCCTGTGACCTTGAAAATAGATAACGGTCATAAATTTGAACAAACTTAGTAGCCCTTCATCCCAGCATGTTACTGACCAAATATCATTAGCCTATGCCTCTTGGATATTAAGAAGAAGTTGTTTAAATGTTTTAAACATATTTGACCCCTGTGACCTTGAAAATGGGCGAAGGTCGTTTGTTTGAACAAACTTGGTAGCCCTTCATCCCAAAATGCTATTGAAAAAATATCATCACCCTAGGCCTTTTGATAATTGAGAAAAAGTTGTTTAAATATTTTTGATATGTTTGACCCCTGTGACTTTGAAAATGGGTGAATGTTATTTGTTTGAATACACTTGGTAGCCCTTCATCTCAGCGTGATGCTGGTCAATATCATTATTCTAGGCCTCTTGGGTATTCAGGAGAAGTTGTTTAAAGGCTTTAAACATATTTGACCCCTGTGACCTTGAAAACAGATGATGGTCATTTATTTAAACAAACTTGGTAGCCCTTCATCCCAGCATGTTACTTGCAAAATATCATCATCCTAGGCCTTTTTGTTATTGAGAAGAAGTTGTTTCAATGTTTTTAATATGTTTGACACCTGTCACCTTGAAAAATGGTGAAGGTCATTCGTTTAAAAAAAACTTGGTAGCTCTCGATCTGAGCATGATACTGGTCAAATATCCTTATCCTATGCCTCTTGGGTATTTAAGAGAAGTTTTTTTAAATATTTAAACATATTTGACCAAGGTAACCTTGAAAGCGAGTAAAGGTCATTAATTTGAACAAACTTGGTAGCCATTCATCCTTGCTTGCTACTGGCCCAATATCAGTACCCCGGGTCTATCGGTTGTTGAAAAGAAGTAGTTTTAATGGAAAAGTTGACGACCGACGCACGACGGCCGGACAGACGGATGGACGACGGACGCCGCACCAAGGCATACGCTCACTTACCCTTTGGGCAGGTGATCTAAAAACCGACAACGTGATCAGGTCCAGACGATATGTGCGTCAATCGTGTAACTCGTTTAAAAAAAGCACTAACGTCAATTACTGAGAAATTACTTATTTTAGCGGTCTCAAATTTTAGCTTATTATTGAATCTCAACAGATGGACGCATTGAATAATTAACGCACCTAAAGTATATGCAATACAAAATGAACGTCATACATACACGTCAGTCAGTCATAATTAAGGACAAGATTTCCAGCGCGAAAAGCTTTGAAAAATATAAGACTACAGTAAATATTAGGCACCGGAGAACTATGTAAGCCTACAGTAAACAATACACCACAGAAATATGTAAGCCTTAAGTAAACAATACACCACAGACATATGTAAGCCTACAGTAAACGATACACCACAGACATATGTAAACCTACAGTATACAATACACAACAGAAATATGTAGCCCTACAATAAACAATACTCCACAGACATATGTAAGCCTACAGTAAACAAAAGACACCCCAAACATATGTAAGCCTTCAGTAAACAATACACCACTACACCACAGACATATGTAAGCCTACAGTAAACGATACACCACAGACATATGTAAACCTACAGTATACAATACACAACAGAAATATGTAGCCCTACAATAAACAATACTCCACAGACATATGTAAGCCTACAGTAAACAATACACTACAGAAATATGTAAGCCTACAGTAAACAATACCCCACAGAAATATGTAAGCCTACAGTAAACAATACACTACAGAAATATGTAAGCCTTCAGTAAACAATACACCACTACACCACAGACATATGTAAGCCTTCAGTAAACAATACATCACAGAAATATGTAAACCTACAGTAAATAATACACCACAGAAATAAGTAAGCCTACAGTAAACAATACACCACAGAAAGATGTAAGCCTACAGTAAACAATACACCACAGTAATATGTAAGCCTTCAGTAAACAATACACCACAAACATATGTAAGCCTACAGTAAACAATACACCACAGCCATATGTAAACCTACAGTATACAATACACCACAGAAATATGTAAACCTACACCACAGAAATATGTAAGCCTTCAGTAAACAATACACTATAGTCATATGTAAGCCTACAGTAAACAATACACCACAGTAATATGTAAGCCTTCAGTAAACAATACACCACAGAACTATGTAAGCCTTCAGTAAACAATACACCACAGAAAGTATATGCAATACAAAATGAACGTCATACATACACGTCAGTCAGTCATAATTAAGGACAAGATTTCCAGCGCGAAAAGCTTTGAAAAATATAAGACTACAGTAAATATTAGGCCCCGGAGAACTATGTAAGCCTACAGTAAACAATACCCCACAGAAATATGTAAGCCTTCAGTAAACAATACACCACTACACCACAGACATATGTAAGCCTACAGTAAACAATACACTACAGAAATATGTAAGCCTTCAGTAAACAATACACCGCAGAAATATGTAAACCTACAGTAAACAATACACTATAGTCATATGTAAGCCTACAGTAAACAAGTAAACAATACACCACAGAAATATGTAAACAAACAGTAAACAATACACCACAGACATATGTAAACCTAAAGTAAACAATACACCACAGAAATATGTAAGCCTACAGTAAAAAATACACTCCAGTAATATGTAAGCCTACAGTAAACAATACACTACAGAAATATGTAAGCCTACAGTAAACAATACCCTACAGTAATATGTAAGCCTACAGTAAACAATACACTACAGAAATATGTAAGCCTTCAGTAAACAATACACCGCAGAAATATGTAAACCTACAGTAAACAATACACTATAGTCATATGTAAGCCTACAGTAAACAAGTAAACAATACACCACAGAAATATGTAAACCAACAGTATACAATACACCATTCAGTAAACAATACACCACAGAAATATGTAAACCTACACCACAGAAATATGTAAGCCTTCAGTAAACAATACACTATAGTCATATGTAAACCTACAGTATACAATACACCACAGAAATATGTAAACCTACACCACAGAAATATGTAAGCCTTCAGTAAACAGTACAACACAGAAATAAGTAAGCCTACAGTAAACAATACACCACAGAAAGATGTAAGCCTACAGTAAACAATACACCACAGAAAGATGTAAGCCTTCAGTAAACAATACACCACAGAACTATGTAAGCCTTCAGTAAACAATACACCACAGAACTATGTAAGCCTTCAGTAAACAATACACCACAAACATATGTAAGCCTACAGTAAACAATACACCACAGAAAGATGTAAGCCTACAGTAAACAATACACCACAGAAAGATGTAAGCCTACAGTAAACAATACACCACAGAAAGATGTAAGCCTTCAGTAAACAATACACCACAGAACTATGTAAGCCTTCAGTAAACAATACACCACAAACATATGTAAGCCTTCAGTAAACAATACACCACTACACCACAGACATATGTAAGCCTACAGTAAACGATACACCACAGACATATGTAAACCTACAGTATACAATACACCACAGAAATATGTAAACCTACAGTAAACAATTCACCACAGAAATATGTAAGTCTACAGTAAACAATACCAGCGCGAAAAGCTTTGAAAAATATAAGACTACAGTAAATATTAGGCACCGGAGAACTATGTAAGCCTACAGTAAACAATACACCACAGTAATATGTAAGCCTTCAGTAAACAATACACCACAGAAAGTATATGCAA